CAAAATAAGGGTGCATCTTATATTTCGAAAAATATGGTACATTCAAAATTTAATTAAACTACTTTATTATCAACATATACAAATAAACTTGGCATCAAAACATAGTTAATAAATCAAATTTTAATATTATACTAGTTTTAATTTCTCAATTTTATAAGGACATATTTTAAAAAAATCCTCAATCTTGTCTAGTATGAGAATTGTGACATTTGTTCTCTAAGTTTCCCCTCCTCTAATTTATTTATCAACCTTCTCTGAAGTACAAATTTAACATAAATTACTCATTATAACATAGATATTACTAAGGCAAAGTCAAATTTTTATAGTCTTTAATCTTATTCGTTTACAGAGTAACAAACTAGAAAATCAGACCCACTTGCCACGCCCACCCGTCACATCCCCTCTATCACAAATTGTCATTAATTCTCTCTGATATTTTAAATCATTTAAAACTAATAGAAAGGCAAAATTTTAATCTATCAAATGTACAATTCTCAGTACAGAGCACTTTCAATTTTGTCTTCAATTTGAAAGTTTATCTCATGGTGTTCAGATCAAGAAGCTAAGCAAAATATTTTAAGCTTCTCTCGTCTTGAAAGCCAGTTAAATTATAACAGTTATAGGACATTGTTTGCTTTGTGTGTGTTATTATTCTCTATTCTTATGTGCATTATTTAACAAAATAATCATTTAGAGTACAAGTGCCATCATTATAAAAAAGTAGGCTTAAATTTAATTGGCAACCAACAGTAAAAAAAAAATCAAACGTATGTACTATATTTCTTGTTTTTATCTATAATAATGTGAGTCACATAACTCCTCCTAAACCACTGGTTGCATAGACTTCTAAATGGTACCAAACAACTTGTAACAGTCCCAAGGTAAAACTTTTCACTCAACCCTTTACGGAACCCATGTATTTTATGAAAACACATTTACAGTGATTCCCCAAAAGTAAACCCCAAATTTGACATTGATTTAGTTTAGAGAACATAAATAAGTAGACCTACTAATTGCCACTTGAAATTTGATTAAAGAAATTAAACTTGCATTATAGCAGCCATGTAAGTGTGGGCCATACACCCATAGGTTTGCTGGTTAATTATTATAAAAATACCTTAAATGTAAAAAGTAGAAATTCAGTAAGTTAGATAGGGTTAGATTAGGTAAGATATTGAAAAAAAAAAATATTCACAAGGTATGCTCATATGTTACATCATTCAATACAGTAGCATGAGCTATGCATTTGCTGAGTGATTTAAAAACCTGTGTGGTAGAATTATTATATAGACATGGTTCAAGGGGCAATGAAACAGTAAAATTAAGTAAAACAAAACATATATCTGAAAAACCATAAAAGAAATTCAAAATGAGAAAAGATTTTGTTTACCTGTGTCAGTCTATGTGGGTTTTCTGGGTTAGCAGGGTTCTGGACAGACCTTCGAGCTTCTTCAACAAGGTGAGCAGACTTGAACATCACATCCTGGGCACTATCAATGACTTTCAATTGAACGTCCTGTTCTGAAGTAGTGGCAGCCACACCTCTTACCGCTCCAGTGAGGATCTTCAAAGCATTAGCTGTGTCTCTTGCTGCAAGTCCTGTATAGTTTTCGTTGCCCTGAAAAAGGAGTCCAAATATTAATATTTGCCCACTACATAACTTAATACTCTTGGACATAAATTTCTTAGTCTGATGAGGCTGAAGAAATGAATAGTTTGTAAGTTACTATTCATAACAACTTTCAAAAAAAGAGAACAACTTACAAAAAACATTAATTCTGCAATCGGACCAAGAGTTTAAAAATGTGATGTAAAATCCAAAATGAAGTCCTTCTAAAGATGAAAAATAACTGTTAATATTTCAGCAGGATCAATACATTACAGTCAACAAATTATACTTTAATACAATACCTGTGATGCAGCTGTAAGAAGCTGTGCCATTGAGGAACCAACTGTTTTGGAGGTACTTCCCAGCCGAAGAGCTGATGATTCACTCTGTTAAAAATCAGTTCTTGTCAAAATATTGGATTTTGTCCATGACTAAAAATATATTCTTACCCTATGTTTTAGTAGCATATAAAAAGAAACTCCAATTATTCCTGCACATATACATCACAAAGTGTGGGAAATACAGGTGATGTATAACCCAGGTTTTAGTAAGTTTCAAAATTAGACAAGAAGTTATACAAAAGTGAATAAAGCTTGCTTTAAAAATTACTCCATATTCATAAATCTTTGATCGAACATATGATTATACAAGCTATACCTCAATAAGTTTATTCTCTCTCTTTTCTAGTAATGATATATTTTCATATCTATTTCTTGCCAATTACTTTTTAATCGTTAAACATTTCTTTTATATTAAAGCTTTCATTTTAGAATTGCTTAGGTATTAAAGAAAATATGAGAGATGCCAAAGTAAGGGCTCAAGTGGACTCCAATGCTGATAAATAATAATTTCCTATCAAACAGGGTTTTTTTCTCTCTCTATTTTCAATTTAAAAGATATTCAGTTATGTCTATAGGAAATCCAGTATTCATAGTAGTACAAACTTTTCAACAAGTTCATACTGCATCAGAATTGTTAGGATTCCTTGAACTACCATTTTATAGGGAAAGGTTATAAAGAGATGGAAAATGGCAAGATAATTTGTAAATTTATTTTAATATTATGAAGTAAATAACTTATGCTTTTCATAAATATAAACTCAACCTGCATATTTGGATAAACTGTTTCTACTACTCCCAGCTTAATTTGCAAAATTTTATTTTTGTCAGTAAACAATAAATAAGCTACTAGGATGTCAAGCTGTAATGCTTCTCTCTTAAAGTCATGTAATTCATAAGTATGAAATGTTTACTAAAGAATATAAAATTAATCAGTTTCTGAAGAATTAATTTAACTTGTTTTCATTTCAGGAAAGAAAAACAAACTCACAGTTTCTCCAGGCAAAGGTTTCAATTCAAAAGATTTTACAGCTCTCCTGAAAGATTCCAGTTCATCATTCAAGCTGTTAATAAGGTCAAGGGCATTGTCAAGTTCAAGGGTTCCACATGCTTCTTGTGCCTGAAGAACAAAAACTACTTAAAACCATCAAATACAAGACAACAACAAAACATTATTCTGTTATAGTCTTCTTGTCTATTTCACAGTTTTTATTAGAAAATTCAAACAATTGTGTTTTATCAATATTTTCAGCATCAATAAACTATAATACAAATGAAACAAAATTTTTAACCATAATTATTCTTGTTTGTGTAAAACACTATAAATTCTGTTATAAAGATAATCCATGAATAGAATACAAATGTCTGTGAGAAATTAGATAAAAATATTCTAAAAAGTTTACAAAGGATATTTCAAATTCTGCCCTTTAATAATAACTAGATGGTAAACAGAGTTGATTACACTGGTTTGAAAATATAAGGAATACTAATTCATTCTTTTGAAAAGAAATGGTTTTCATAAAACAGTATAATTTAAGTTGTTACCTTTGCTAGTGCACTACGAAGCTCTGCTAGAGCACTGGCCATGTCTCTGGAAGTATTGTTCAGTTGTGTAGCTGAGGATGGGTTCGTTATTGTTGGAAGAGCAGCTTTTGATGCCGAAATCATATTAATAGTTGGCTGTCAGAATAAAAAAATACAATTATACAAATGAGCCAAGATACAACATATGGCTTTAATAGGAAATTAAAAACATAATTACAATGGAATATTAAAAAAGTGATCCATTTTAAGGACCTATAAACTTACCTGGATCATCTGTTCAGCAGCATTTATCAAGAAAAGCTGATTGTAAGCATTATCTGGTTCCTTCATTGTACTCCTTACACCCTGTACTATGGCTGGGATTGTTTCAGCAACTCTCTAAATAACAAAACATAATTTAATCTATACACAGTAGAATCATTACACATATAGTAACACTTTTTCTTAAAATTCAATAGACATATAGTATTGGAAATAAACATGGAAGCACACGTGATATACATACAGAAGTCACAACAATGAGTAACTGGAACTAAATGGTGAATTTATCATTAGTACAATACACACGAGTATTTTCTATTTACTTTAACTCTTCCAACATGGGGTCTGTCAATCTGATGTCATGTGACCTTCTGTACTCGTTTAAAGTTTACATAAGTTTAATACTTATAACTCTCTCTATATATATATATTGGGTATATCTTCACAAAATTTGGCAGTCTTTCAGTTAATATTACAAGTCTTTCACATACAAAAAGTCGTATTTTTTAGTGAAGTACTTTTAATAAAATAAAATAAAGTTTTGTCCATGAATATATTGAGTATTTGTTTTGAATAGTCCATGTGCAAAGTAATTTTCATGTTAAAATTAAAAATACTTTTCGTCATCTCAAAAATCTCAAATTTCCTTTGTGTAATCCCTAAAACCTCCTAAATGCATTTCAAACTTTATTTTCACTAAACCCTTATAGTTTATGTTATATTCTCTACCCTAATCTCAAAACTGGATTGGACAATTCGACCGACCTCGTAACCACCAAAATAAAAAAA